GTGTGTGCCCAGGCATGAGCTAGAGTCTTTCACTATTCATCATGCCCAGCGAGACTAGAAAAGCCATTTCTTCCTTTCCAGCCTCGAACAGGCTGAGGAGAGGCAGCCTCTTATTGCTAACACTCCTAAGAGCACAAAGCACTTAGGGGGAGTCACACAAGCTGTGTCTCAGATGGCTTAGTTTCACCAAACACCCAATTGGGTAGTGTGGAATTTCTTATTTCATTTTTATCCAGAATTTAGCAGTGGTATCAGGATCAAGAGGGCCATAAAATATTTACAGACTTTTAGAACAAAGAAACAAAGAAAACAAGTAGTTTAAGTATATGGGAACTCTCTCATAGATAAATAGATAGATAGATAGATGGATGATGTTGATATATAAGTAGACCATGAAAGCATCAGGACTTATAATGGATTCTTTACAGAATTTGGTTTCTTTTTCCATGTACAGATGCACATAATTTTAAACATTCATTGAATCAGGAGTTATTGTTTCAGATTTGCTTTATTGTTTATATTTAACCTAGCTCTTCTTTATAAATTTACCTTATTCATTATTTGATTTACAGAAGGAATACTATGTAATATCTTTTAGAAATGTAAAATGTGCCCCATCAAGCTTTTGTTCTGTCTCCATCAGTTTTATCATGTTGTATCTTACTGGAGTTTATTATATGTGATAGTATAAATAAAATACTTTATAGTCAAGGAGATAATATAGAAACCATTGTTCATTTTCTGTTAGTTGGTTCTAAATACCCTGTAATACTTTTACCCTCTGGAATGGTTTTACACTGTCTTGCTATGTTTGATAGTATACGAAGGCATACTCAAATATTTCAAGGAAAGAGACACTATGGTAACTACTGTTATGTCGGGTTATCCTGTGGTGAAACACTATGTTGCTTAAATTGTTTTGTTCTGACCTGTGTTGTCATGTCCTCTTTCATCTTAATCTCCCCATATATATATATATATATATATATATATATATATATTATAAAAATATATGTAAAATATGCAAATAATAGATCATAAGGATCTTTCTTGAGTGGCAACAATCATAGGCACAATTTTCCCATCCTTCTTTAGCAGATTCTTCATCACACTAGATGGAAAGTGTAATAGAAAATATCCTCAATACTATATATATATATATATATATATATATATATATATATAAATGTTGCATGTATTATATTTATATATTCTATATATACCAAAGAACTAAGTGAAAAATTGAAAAGACAATCTATATGCACATTAAGTCACATCTAACAATAGAAGTATACAATTGAGACCTTAGAACAATACTGAGACAGACTCTTGGATGTTAAGGGAGAGTGAGTCTCATGGGAGAGAAAAGAAGTAAGACTCAAAGCTCTGGGAATGGGCCAAGTTAGAGACAGGAAGGCAGGCGACTGTGAGTCATTAGCAAAGTTCTCTCAAGGGGGCTCCGAGGGCAGCAATTGGAGGAGAATCAAACCCTCAAGGAGCTCCTTTTGATGGCAGGATGTGGGTATTTGGGATATGAGGATCAATGCCTGACAAGGAGCAAGGAATATGTCTTGATTAAGCCAACGCAGTCTTGGTTACAAAACAGCACATATATGAAAGTCTGCAGGTAGGAGATGGAGTTTTGAACATCTAGACTGGTGGTTGAGACCGTGTTCTGCAGCAGGAGTCTCTTGATTGTGATCATGTCTCTGGTTCCTGCCAATGATAGCCCTTGGCAAACTGTTTAACTTCTCCAGATCTCAGCTTACCACTGTAGATAAAAATATTATCACTTCCTAGGGTTATTATTGTGGTTTTTTTTTTTTGTCCTTTCCTTTTTTATCGGTACCAGGGATCAAACTCACGACCACACACTTGCAAGATAGGCACTTATGTCGCTGAGATAAATCCCTAGCCCCAATTCCTAGGGTTATGACAAAGACATTCCTACAAAATCACTAAGAGCTTCACACGTAAGAAGCATTATGTTAGATTTTAGTTATTACTGCGGATTTTTAAAATGTACTTAAAGTTGGATGTTTACATTGTATTTTCTGTTATTTAAGGTGTGTTTCTCATTACTGTATCCTTAGAATTGGGGAAGTGGGAATGTTCCCTGTTTTACTAGGGAGACAGCCATGCAACTAACTGACCACTATATTGATTAAGGTGATATACAGGACAATATATAATTAAGCAATAAGAATAGTAGGAAAGATGATATGTTTTGTTGAATTATGGGAGGAAAATATTAGTACTGGAATAATCAGAGCTTCCATGGATGAGAAACTAGTGGTGCAAAGTATCACAGATGGGCAAGATTTAAAGTTAGATCAGATCTCTCATATTCTCTCCTCCAGAGATTTTATGATTCTATGTGGAAGCTAAACAGACAAATCAGGAATCAACGCAAATAAAAGAAATGATCTACCCAGAAAAGGATTGATGTGGGAACAAATGAGGAGGGGGATAAACTTAGCAAAGATGATGGAATTATAAAGGCCTAGGGAGGAAATGGCCAGAGAAGAAACATCATTAAACAGGACTAATGTGATCTAGCTTGCATATCTAGATACCTTTTAAGGCTATAAGGGAGAATACATTTTTTTCTCCAAATGTGTTGTGCACAGAGCTGTGGAAGGGACTACAGCATATTGTGTAATATCTGGAAGTGTGAGGATACAGCCTGGCAGAGGCATGCAAGTGGAATAACAAGAGGTAGTGCTCAGCCAGGAGGTGACTGGTTTGGATGTACTTCCTGAGCTCTTCATGTCCTCTCCAATGGGAAGGGGCATCGAGTCACCCTGGGTAAGCTCTGTTTACAGACCTGGGTGTGTTGGAGAGAGCAGAGGAACAGCAGAATGAGACTCCCACACACAAGCAGATTTATATTTTTTACTTTGATCAGAACCTGAAAAAGCTTTTTCTTCCCCAGGGCTTGAAAGCTTTTCTCCCCCAGGGCTTGAAAGTGCTATTTTCATCATAATCAATAGATTGCTTTTCTTGCTTTTTAAGCGGTGGGAGGGCCTGTTAGTTAACTGCAGGGCTATAAGTGTCTAAACAGTGACATATCTCAAACACAGAAGCTGTGGCCCAGTCAGGTATTTCCTTCCTTTATCTTCTCTGATTCCTTTCATGCAACTCCTGTGCGTCACCGCCTGATCCCACTGACATTCCAGTCATTGTGTCTGTCATGGCAAGGTCTGTTTTCAAGAAAGAAGATGCACTCAGACCCTTTTCTGAGGGACTCTTTTTGATATCATGCAAACCCACCGACACTGAAATTCATCCAATCAGGAGTGGGCAACCGCAGTGAAGGAAAACTTCCTGTGATGTGTTTCCTGAAGCTACCTTGATCTCCAGAGACCCCCAGGCTCTGTGATGAATGTCCTTCTGCTCTTCCGAGTCCAACTTGTGAGTGTTTCCCGGGATTTTCTCATACAAGGGACCCATCTCTGTTAGTTGAGATTACTTGAAATTTCCTGATCCCAGAAAAAACAGGTCTAAAATATTTATCGAAGTATTCAAGCCAATGTCTTTGACCTTGGTCAGTTGTCAAGTAATATTAGTGACTGTGGTAAGGATATGTGTCTTCTACAGATAACTATACTATTAAAAGACACTTGAAGATTGACAAATATGACTGTACCAGGCTTCCCTAATGAATCTTTTAATGGTAGAATTTTTAACAAGACTAAAGACTAACTAGATAATAGGAATGTTATTTAAAGAGAAGCTCTTCTTGGTATTCCTTATCATACAGCTTCCAGTATTGACTGCTGCAAAATTTTTGGATGAAAGAGAGAAAGAGAGAGAGAGAGAAGAGAGAGAGAGAGAGAGAGAGAGAGAGAGAGAGAGAGAGAGAGAGAGAGAGAGAGAGAATAGAAGCTTGGATCTTAGTCCTAGCTTAGCTCTTTTTCTTGCCTCATCTGTTTATTGTACACATGACCACTAATTCTCTGAATCTCTGTTTTTCTCATTTGACTGTTTATTGTTAAATCAATAAAATAGAGCTCTTCCAGCTCTAACAGTCTGTGATTCGATCATTTCCCTTCTATTCAACCACAAGTGCCTTCTGTCCAGGGAAGTTCATGGAACAGAAGACTCTGAGATGAATGAAATTCTTCCAGTGCATGTGATGCTCTTGTGAAGCCACCCTGCACCCCTGGAGTGGGAGTGCTTCCTCACTGAACAGTCTAGAAGGGATAGATAAAAGAGTAAAAACTGGGAGAGGTTTTATTACAGTTGTTGTTTTATTCAGAAGTATACACTGCACTAAGAAGAACATAAACTCTGTTCATGTTTGTGTTTGAAAACACTAGAATGTTTAAAAAATAGACCTAAGATTCATGATTGAGGTAACGCTTACTAGGATAATTTCACCTGACATTTAAATGAATAGCTAAACTAGGCTGGGAGTTATGCTATCCATTCAAAAAAGGAAAGTTCAAAATTATAAAGTGTACTGCCCTTTGGACAATGATTTGAGGTCTAATTGATATGCACTGTATTCTACCAAGACTTTTTATCATGATGTACACTAGTGTTTTCCCAGAATTGCTTAATAAAAAATAGATTAGAAATGGAAGACAGTCACAGGTTTTGGACCAACTATCCCAGTATTTGTATTGTCTTACAAATGAAAGTAGTGAGTCCGTTTCTCATCATAAATCTCTTTTCCCAAATTGTTTTTCTGGACATAGTTCAAGTAGAACAACCAATTTATTTATGTCAGCTCTTGCTCTTTTCAATGGCCTTTTATTGAGCAATCTGTTAGATGAAAGGGTTGGTTAGCAAGCAAAGCGTGCTGCAGAAACACTGACTCAGGCTTTTGCTAGACAACACACATGGCTGTTTCTGTCCTTTGGAAATGACGACATACACTGGTTGCAGACATAGATTCACCCCAATGACGGGTCAACCCCAAACCACCTCAGACACAGTGCAAGTATCTATGCTCACACACATGTGCACACTCACACATTCTCTGCTCTTCTTACTTGGTAAAATGACTTGTTGCTTCCAGGTCTGTGTCTTGTGGACGGAGATTGTTATACACGTATTTCAGGTCTTGGATTCCACTTAGCTCAGGCAGTCCTGCATACAGCATCTTAAAGCCAATAAAATTCAAAACAAACAAAAAACAGATACATTCAGGTACAATTAAGCTTACGTGATTCAGTCTACTGATGGGCACATAATTATAAGTTTGCATAGCAACGTCTGAATTCATGAATGAAAGGGAGTTCATGATTTTTAATCTCCCTACTTAGTAGTAGAAGAGATAATAATAATAAAAAGCCATTGTAATGAGAAAAATGCTTGTAGATTAATAATTTGATTTTATTCTCATGACAAACCAATGAAGCAAGCAGTATGATATTATTATCCTCCTGTCAGAATATCTGAACCCACCATTTAAAATATGAGTGATTGTATGAAACCTTACCTTAACCTCTTTAAGCTTCTATTTTCTTATATTTAAAGGAATAAAAAATTACCCAACATGCGCCAGCAAAATCAAATGGTTAACTTTATGTGTTAAAAAATCACAAAAATTGGGGGTAAAGGGGCAGCTTATCATTTTAGAACTCTAGGAGACAGAGGCAGGAAAACTGTACTTTGAGGCCCAGCCTAGGTAATTTAGCAATTTAGCAAGACCCTGCCTCAAATAAAGAAAATATTGGGAATGTAGCTCCATGAGAAGGTACTAAGTTCAATCTCCAGCACTGCAAAAAAAAAATTATGTAATAGTATTCACTTTGAAGAAGAAAAACTAAATCTGCAGAAAACTGAGTGACATGCCAAGGTAATATGATAATTAAAAATCAAAGTACAAAACTCATACCTCTGGTTCTTAATCCTATCTTTTTTATGACTCTATGACTCACACTTTAAGTACACAATTTTCTCTAATTAAGTGGTGACTATATTTATTAAAGATTATTAAAGAAATGAAATGATTAAGACAAAGTTATACAGGTATTTTTTCCCAATCTTCAGGAAGATTCTGTGTTTTTTTATTGCACTGTAGACCAAAGGAAGAATATTCTCTCTAATTGTAGATAAAATGTTTTGAACAAGATAGATTTTTTTTTTTTAAAAAAATGAACCTTGCCAAGAAGGAGAAAAAGAAAAACAGAAGAATCTAGAGGAGGAGAAGGAGAAAGAGAGGAACAAAGTGAGGAAGAGGGAGACGGAAAAGAAGATCAATACCTTTATGACTAAGATGATAAATATTTCATGCTTTGGAACTGACACTCTACAATGCTAAGTTAATTATGGTTGTGACATTGTAATTGACTTGATTGAGTTCAACTAAGAAAGAAAAACGGTTTTGAAACTATTCTCTTCCACCCACTCCCCACCCAGAGTGAGGGAGCAGCATGTTTGAGTGTGCATCAGAGACTAAACTCAGGGCAAGGTGATCACAGAAAGAAATCCAGAGGGTTTTCTGGAGAGTAGAGAACCACAGGGCTAGCCTCAAGAGCCAGGGATGAAAAGACACATAGGGTAGGATAATATAGCAATATTAAATATTTTGAACTGTACCATAAAGGCAAGGGATAGCTCTTCAAGTGTTTAACTTGAAGATCATTACAAAAATGAATTAAAGAGGGGACGAAAAAGAGACTGGATTCGGAATTAGTTTATGAATACAAGCATTGCAGAATCTTAATTATACACAGGAAACAGAATTGAGACAACTGAATGATGACTGGAAACACTGAGAGAGATGACAGGCATCCAAATCACAGAGCTGTAAATATAGATGTAGGAGCCATTAGCAAATAGATGATGAGTGAAACCAAGGAACTGGATGCGCTGGTCCTGGAGATGTGCCAACCTTTGTCATAGACAATGTGTTGGCATCTCAGACTCAAACTGTCTAAATCTGAACTCATTGTCTTCTCTTATAAACCTTTTTTCTGTTTTCTATCTCAATTCACAAGGTTGTCATTGTCCAACTAACAAGGAATAAGTATTTTCTTTGATTCCTTTTTTTTCCTGATTTCCATTGTCAATCACTTAATTCTAACAAAGAACCCAACAGACCTTCATTCATTTACCTTTTTTCAAACTACAATTATCACTGCTCTCGTTTGACTCTTTATCTGCATTTATCTAGCTTTCTTTAAATTATTTTCTCTAATCTCTAACTCTTCAATAGGATAACCTGTGAGTTATTTGTCTAAAATTATGATGATGCTCTCTCCATTATAAACAAACATTTGATTGTCATTCTGGTCAGAAATGTCTTTTATGACCAAGTGCACCTTCTATAGTGGTCTCCCTCTGGGTACAATGGACTGGGTACCCTTGGTTACCTCCATTTCCAACACATGCCATGCTAATGCTCTTCAAACCTCCACTCATACTTATACCATTTTCCCAGGCAGAAATACCTTTCCTCTCCCTCTTTTTCTACTGAAAAAAATTTTTTGAGGCTCATCTTAATATGTCTTCCCCTTTGAAGTATCACTGATCCTCCTGATGAAGTTACTGCTGTCACTGTACAATAATCATGTCTTTATTCTACCTCTTTCCCAGTTCTATTTTCAGATTTTACTATGTTTTGCTCCAATTTTTCATGTTAGATTTAAGTTCTTTAGGAACAGGAATTGAATAATTGGTTCCTTAACTGGCTGAGAACACTGAACCATTTGATTCTGTGTTGAACTATCTATATGACCTAGCACAGTGCTTTATAAATAGTTGGAACTTAATGAATGTCTGGAATAATGAATGCCTGGATGAATGAATATATGAATGAAAGAAAAAGTACCTGGCACCAATAGGCTGTGAAAGCTACTACTAGCAAATTCAACACCAACTCTTAAATATAACAGTATCAACCATACAGAGTCACATTCCCCATGGAAATTAGAATCTAGGTTAAGTTTTATCTTATCATCTTTATATTTAGAGTTCTGGGGATATCTTTGTTTTTATTGAGTCAAATTTCTTTTTTATTATACAAAGAGCACCCATTTCCTAAAAATAGATTTTTCTTTAGTGTCTGAATTGTATTGTAGTTTCTCTGGATAGTTTCTTGGTGAGGATTTTGTCAAATATTTCCTTGGGAGGGAAAACTATAAATAAACACACTACCTCTTCCTCTCCCAACACACACACACACACACACACACACTAGCTGCTAAGTAAATTCACATAAGGCCATAAGGCTGGGCTCCTGGGCTGGATCCACTTAACTGTGCGTTCTCTGACCCATAGCAATCTGATTGTCAAATGCCTCCTAATCTAGACCTCATAGATCATAACTGTAACTGGGACAGTGGGGAAGGAAATAGCACAGTACTATTAAAACAGATAGATAATGAACAGAAACTTAATGAATAGGTCACTTATTTCTTTAAAGATCAGAGGTATTTTTAAAGTTTCTTCATGTGTGCTCTTCCTCTGGGTCCAAATCTGTCTAAATAGGTATGCTTAGGGGAGCGGATACTCTTCCTTACCACATGGGCAAGTTAGAAAGGTTCCTTCTGGGAAATAACTAATATAATAATGGGTTGATAAACATTTAAAACTGACTGAATGGTCCCTGTGTTCTCTGGGAGTGTTCTATAATAGTTGATATTGCTTTTTTAATGAGAGAAAAACTTATCAAATACAGGCTTTTATGTTAGTGATTCAGTCAGCAACACTCTTGGGTGTCCTATAGATGTTGCTTTTAAGCAGGATGGGAATTTCAAAGATAATTTTTTCCCTGCTTTTCCCAGGAGGAAATAAAAATCACTACAGATATCTGTAAACATGCTGTTCTTTGCAGAGGAGGAGCCATTAGCTCCATTGTAAAACCACCAAATGCTTTTGGCTCATAATTCTGTGTACTGACCATCTTTCGAAGACAGAATTTATGACCTGTGTCAAGCATTTCTCAAGTTATAACTGGGTCATGTTGCAGTAGATTGAATTATTTGTAAAGAATATAATAAAACAAGTGTCAGTTTGAGGAGAACTGAAGGATAGTATACACATAAGTAAAAAAATTCACAAATTCAAACTTTGTTTTTATTTTAAAAGAAACTTTACCAGAAAATATGTCATGTTGTAACTTTCACCAAATGCTTTATCTATAGAGTCTAACAAGATACTTGAGCAACACAAAAAAATTGAGGAATAACTGGCCAGAAACTGAAGTAATAACACAATGCTATTTTACATACATTCACCCAGGGTTTAACTATTCCACATGGCTTCTAACATCTCCTGCAATTTTGTTAAATGTTTAAACCTAAGATTATTGCTTAATCTGAATTACTATCATCCACTTCCAAATTTTTTTCTTTTGCCTAGAAATCAGGACTTGATTTAATTAGAACATACATTATTTTTGATACATTATACACCAGAAACTTATAGTAACTGATCTTATTTATGAGAAATTGTTTTAATACTTGCTATTAAAATATCATATGTCTGTGTCTTCTAAAGGAAATAACATTATACAAACTAATGACTGTGTGATTTAATAACTCATGTGCTGTCACATAGAAAAGTTTATTAAACAAGAGAGAAAGCCCATTAATAGTTATTGAATCCTTTTGTTGGGAAGCTGTCCTTTTTTATTATCTTAACATGCCCACTTGGCATCAAACATAATTTTAGTGTCACCTGAGCAACAGCTTGAGTTGAGTCTTTGCTTTAGATTTATTTTTACAATGTCCGTCACAGTTGAAAATGTCCACTAATTTGGTACTACCCCTTTCAGACAGTTATTTATAGACATTTAGAAATGCTGCATACTTCACTGACTGGTGTGCACAATTTTAGCTTCCTTAGTAAACTGAAAATTATACATTAGTATTTCCTTTACACTGTCTGGCACATAGTAGGCGCACGCGGACTCATGGATTCATGAGGTAGATCTTGTTGGAGATTAAACATTATCAACATTAGATATAAACACATGTCAGTATTAGAGCTGGTATTGCCTGAATATTTATTATACGTATGAATGGGATCATGTTTATAGACTTAGTCTTTGTGGAGTTTCCTTTATGGTAAGGCTGCAGTTGTTACAAACCTTAAACCATCCATAATTGATCTAATAGGGTTAGGAAGCAGAATGCAGCTCTACCAATAGAATCATTGGCTATTATTGTAACACAGCCTGAAGGTTCTAGATGTGATCAGAAGGTTATATATCTTGTTTCCGTAATATGAACCCACAATGCCTTTTTGCATGAATGCTATGTTTGCAATATTTTTAGAAATCCTCATTTTTCAAAGCAGAGAGAAGTGGATATACTGTTTGAAAGTTTAAACAGAATCCAAATCACATCTACACTGTAACAAAGCCAACATTACTTCAGCACTACCAAATGGAACTTTTTTGTGATGACAGAAATTTTTATATTTGCGCAGTTCACTGTGATGTCATTAGCTCTGTGTGCCCACTGAACCCTTAAAGTGGAAATGTATGTTAATAAACATCTAGTATAATAACATCAGTTAATTGCCACCTGTTATATGACTGATACTATTCTAAGTGATTTAGATATTATATTGCAGGTGCTATTGTAAGTGATTTAAACATTAAATGGAAGGCACTATTTTGAATGGTTTACATTATTTATCAATCAGGGCTATGGTAGGATGAACTTTCATCAGTACCTATAAAGCACTTATCATAGTGCCTGTTTTATGCAAAACATTGATTATTAGATCCTTTATTCATCAATTGTACAAATAAATATTGATTTAGGTGACAGTGAAACTCTTTTTAGGGTTAAGTAACATCCCCCTAGGAACATAACTAGTACAGTGCCAAACTAGGACACCAACTATAAGAGGATCAACCATTAAGATTATGCCTGTAAAAAACAAAGCAAAAAGCCACAAACAAACAAAAACAAAACCATCTAGCAGAATTACTGTCATCTGACAGCTCCAGACTCCACCTTGATGAAGCAGTGGTGCTTTTCTGTCTTATCCATTGCAGGAATTACTAGCATGTGTGCATGTACACAGAGGAATGATCATGTCCTTCTTTCAGAAGATATTTCTATCAGATTCTGCTCTTCTCCCCCCGTATGTCTGTTCTCCCCTTTGAACTAGACAATGAAATAAAATATTAAACTTCACTTCTTGGTCAACAGAATATGTAAGATCAAGCTCAATAGACCAGATTTATATCACTAACTGTACACTTTCTGTTTCAATTGCTACCATCGCTTTGTATTTTTGAGTCTCAGTTTCCAGACCTGAAAAACAAGCAAGTGGTTAAAGACAGTGATCAAGACAAGGAGACGGGAAAAGTCACTGTTTGGTTTACATCACTAGGGTTGCCATAAATGTGAGAGATTGGATTTTTAAGGCATTTTGAAAAATCCTTCATGCATAATAAAACTAATATTTTAAACTACTGTCCTTGAATCTTATTCAAGATATACTGGGATAACTTTGAATGCACCAATATTGTGAATAGGGGTACTCGAGACAGTAACTATGAAGTAACACACTGCATTTTCAAGGAGTGCATTTGTAAGCTGCACCTTGGTCCTCTTCATTTCTTCGTTTTTTTCTGTTTTGAATAGCTCTTTGGGGAACTCCAAGCCATTAGCAAAAAATAGACTACTGAAAGAGAGACATAAATGAAGCTTATTATTCCTGCTATTTCCCCAAGGGACTTACCATTTCTAGAAGGTTTAAGAGCAGCCAGCTGTGCCTTCTGACAATATTGTATGCTCTGCAGCAAAGCTCCACAAAATCTTGAAAATGTTGTGGGTTTTTCCCACCCTCTGTAATGAAGTACTCCATCTCTGAGGTAAAAATAAAAGGGGCTCGGTCCCTGAAGGCCAAAAACAATAGCAATCATAAAGAACAGAAATGGTTTGTAGGGTTAGATTATACCATTACAATTTATTTGCACTTGGATTTTCTTGTTATTTTTTTCTCTAGTCTAGTGGAGGAGTCTCCTTCATTGTGGGACAACTGGAGAAATTTTTATTGAAGGCTTTCAATTACTGAACTGAAGCAGAGAAAAAATAATTCACCTCATCATTTCAACTTGTATTGTTTTAAGTGTTTATTTCCAAATTACATTCAAACAGTAATACCTATAAGAAAATGTAAGGGGCAAGATATACTATGGTAGCAATTTTGCATTTACTATTGGCTTGCTTTGAAGTCTTTTGTTGCATTCATTGTCTTTTTTTATTGTTTCTATTTTTTTATGTTCTACTTGACCTATACTGAGTTCAAAGCTATCTGCAGCTAGTTTGAAGTCATCAAAAGGCATTACAGTAACTATTGTTGATTTCATAATTCTTTTAGGTCTGTAGCTCTTACACTGGTTTATTTTTATTGGTTTTATCTTATTTTATTCTCTTTAAAATAAAAAAGTAAAGTCTAATGAATGATAAATGAAATACCTATGTGAAGTCATTATGGAAAATAAATGATAAAACAGATTGTGAATTTGATCGTAAACTATTTCTTTTTTAATTTTTTTCCTTAGAAAATAGGCTGACATTCCTGTTTTTCAGGAAAAAATAACAAGAAAGAAAGAAAGAAACAAACAAAAACAACTTTTGAGTAAAAGTTAAGATACTGTAATGACAAGTTCTTCCAGAAGGCAATCTGCTAATAAATAAATAAACAAACAAAATAAAATAAAACAGGTGTTACCAATTCACTGTCATGCTAAGTAAAGGGAAAAATAGCTTTATTTCATTTTTCACTACACCCAGTAAAAATGTTGATTGGATTGGAAGAACATGGACTAGGTTAACACGTAACTAATACCGCCCCCTATAGTCTCAAAAGGGGAAAAACAGGAAAATGCAGAACCTGGATGAAGGCGACCCATTTTTCTAAATCTGTATGATTTTTCTTGTGTTATTTGATATATAGAGAAACCCAAAATGACATTTCAGACTTTATGACAGGGACTAGCAGAGGAAGGAAGGAAAACATCTCTCTTTGATGTGGTCTCATTCACTGAACAAGATCAAAGATAAAACAGTTTTTGACACCAATTTATGGTACAGTCTTCTGAAAGCATTTGAGATAGGAGTAACAGTTTTGGTTAAAAGTCTTGTTACAAAATACAAAATCTTTTGGATTGAAATAAGGCTTATAGTCAAAATTAAAAAAAAATTCAGGTTACCAAGGGAGCCTTTTGATTTTTTAATGAAGAGTAGTATTCTCTATTATTGCTGTGCACAGCTGCTTTAATGAAAGTATAATAGAGTAAGAAACCTCACTCACCATGCTTTACCCAAAAGTATGGCTATTGTGGCAGATGTGGGGAAAGTGTGCTCTAACTGCAGGCAAAGCATAAACAAAGAAAACAAAACAAATCCCCACAACACAAAACAAAACATCGGCAAAGTCTAACTTCGTTTGGTTGTGGTTACTGAATGCATTTCATTTTTTAATCTATGCTACAGTTGACTATCCCAAGGAGCAGCTTCCCTCATTTTATATTCCTTTTTTTTTATAATTCCTCATTTTATAATGCCTTTTTTTCATACTATAAAGCTTACTGAACACCTGTATTGAGGATGGGTCTTAAATCTAAACTCCTAAATTTTGAGTCAAAATCTTGTCATATTGGGCTTCACTGACTCTCATTGTCTATGAACCCACTTGGCAAGTCTTTTACTTCAGTTGCAAACATGAGATGAAGCATAGATTCCAGTTCTGGAGCTGCTAGGACTCAGTTTCTTCATCTTTAAAGCAAGACAAAATAGTTGGCTCTTAGAATTTTCATGCAGACTCACACAGATGTCCAATCTGATTGAGGGGTTCGGGGGTCATCCCTGTGAGCTGATAGCTAAAGAGGAGCTGGTGCGGGGGAAGAGTCTAGGCTTTGGTTAGGTTTCCAATTTGAGCTCTACCACTGAGGAGTTCCGGGCCCTGGGCAAAGCACTTGTCTTCTTGCCTTAATATCCTAACTCTATTAAAAGTCAGCTAAAATATCTGACTCCTGATGTTGCTGAAATAACTAAATGATTTAAAGCATGCAAAAGTGCTTAGAACACAGCCTTCCACATAGTAAGTATTCAAGACCCTTTAGGTATCATTCCCAATCAGCAGTGTTCTCAGGACTGAACCTTGGTCACAGTTAAGTCTCCCTTTGTCTTCTGATTCAAAGATGTTGTCACTGGAATCACATCTTTGCTCTAAGGTTTAATTCACTCCTAGGTTGTTCAGGTAACTCCCTGCCTGAACAAACCATTAAGCAAAAGCTTGAACTTGGCGACATTTTTATATATCATTCACCTTTATAGTCATCATTTTTGCTAACATTTTAGTAATTATTTTAGGAATACCTTAGACTTCCACAGTTAGAAAATTCAAAATTTTATATGTAGTAGCTTTCTAAGAGTTTTTCTTTTATTCTTTTTGCTATATTTATTATTTTGACTAGAACTTTGGCAGTAATTTTAGTAGAATTCTAAATGTTATAGCTGCCTGAAAATTTTTCTACTAATTTGATGCATATGGATTTCTTTCTTCAATAGAGAGAATTATGATGGACAAAATTGATTTCTCTCAGAAAGTTTTTGTAGTTATGCTAAAATTTAAGATATAACACATTTCCTTCTACCATAGAAACTGCCATTTTAAATCAGATACACAAATACTATACAGATAGTCAAGTACATAAAAGAAACATATTGATATTAAAAAATATGATCTAATAATACAAATTGAACAAATGAGTTTTAAATACAATGTAAATGTTCAGTGGATTCAACAAAATGAAATGTTTTATATTTTCTACAAGATTTCTATGGATCACTTCTGGGAAGTTCTTTAAAAAATTAAGAATTACCCTAAAACTTTTTGATAAATGAATGGGAGTCATGTAAAATAGAATACCATTGGATCTCTCTAGGCTGTAGGATTTTTTAGCTGTGATGTAAGATATCAGTTTACTCAAATGTGAAACTACTCCTGGGTTGTAGAATGAATGTTTTAGAGCCCATATGTGGAGTTTCATATTACTTACAGGTAAGATATACAAATTGGTTGTGGTAAGAGGTAAGAGCTAGACTCTCAGGGTCTTTATTGTTAGAACACTTTGAATCATCGGTTTAAAATCTCTCATTTATAATCATATAGATACATTATGGAAATTTATTTTTATAACTGTCCTTTTTTATAGATTAGTGGTCTTACCATTGCTTACCTAAATTCTGGCTATTCTTGCTTTTTTTACCTACATCTATTCTTACTCTGGTGTTGTCTTTTTTCCTCTTTATCTTTCTCCTCTGATGTTTTAAACTTTTAGTATTGATAAGAATACAATCTTTTTGTGTGTGTGTGTGTGTGTGTGTGTGTGTGTGTGTGGTACTGGGATTAACCCATGAGCTTTGCAGTGAGCTGTATTCCTGGCCCTCTTTTTTTATAAAGGTAATTTAATATATTTTTATGGTTCACTAAGTCTTTAAATTGTCTACATTGGGCTTAGAAATGCAATTTTCCTGCCTTGGTTTCCAGAGTATTGGGACCACAGGTAGGTGCTACAATACTCAGTTCAAAAATTTTTTCATACAAAAAGTCCTCTTCAATCAACCTATCTCTTGTCAGAAATCTTATTATTACTTAAGTGACATATATGATTTCCAAGGGAACAGCAAGTATCACTCTTTCCCTTTATACAGTCTTCATGTTTGAAACAATATTTTGCTGGTATTCTGTTATATGCAGTGAATGTTACAACAAATAACCATAGCCATACAGTGAAGAATCTGTGATGATTCAATAATTGTGTGGGAAGGCTGTGAGAACAAACTTGTTGTGAGTCTATCATTGTGTTGTCCAAATTAATCTTTTTGTTAACTCACAGCCAATCTTTTTCTAAAATGATTGTTCTCTAAAAGTCTGGGAGTAATTTACTTTATAAATTTTCAGTAGGGGTGAGAAATGTTGGTGATTTAAAATACATATATATATGTATTAGAAGCAGACAGTAATTATTAAAGAGATAAAATCATTTGATAGATATAAGCTAATTAATAATTTGATATTTATTATTATTTGTGTCAGTAAATATAATCCATTATACAAAGTTTTTAGGAAATCAAGGTCAGTGTCATAAGCAGTTACAGATAAATACTGCACCGAAAGGGCCGGGGATTTAGCTCAGCGGCATAAGCGTCTGTCTGGCAAACCCAAGGTCATGAGTTTGACCCCGGGTTCCACCAAAAAAACAAAACAAAACAAAACAAACTTCACTGAGGATATGTGGGGCTTTACGATCTATACAGGCCCATGAGATAACTTGGATTTTGTTAGAGAGATACACACCTAAAATCTTAGTACATTACAATCACTTATTGATAGGTATTTACTGAATATCTGTAATAGATATATGGAATACTTGTAGGTGAGCTTAAGAGCTTTTAAATTATTTCTCTAAAAGCAATATAAATGTGATGAACAATAAAATGGTCCTTAGAAAAGACTGCTGTAATATGGGGACGAGTTTTGGACAGGAAGAGTAAATGTGCATAGAAAAGATGAGAGGTTGCACAAAGTTCTGATCTGATGTGACTGTAGCTCAGCTTAGCATTGGGGTTGATCTGCACAGGTGTGGAGAAGTGGGAAGACGTGAAGACTACTCCAAAGAAAATAAATAAATGAATAGGATTTCCTGGTAGTTTGTAATGACAAAAAAGAAGAGGTGGCAAGAACAGTTTGAAGTTTTTTTCCTTGTGTAGTAGGAAGAATAACATATAGAGGTGGCCCACATTTGAGCTCAAGTTGCATTGGAGGTGCCCTGGGGACTTACAAAAACTGATGACAATGAAACTACTTGTTTTAGGACCTTAAAGG